CCCTCTCGATTGGCTTGTGCTTAGATTCTTGTTTGCGTAATACCAAAACAATAACTAGCCCCAAGTCTTAGGTGCGTAATTACAACGCGTAATTGCGTCAAGGCAAGCGTGTCTCAGAGATATATATCATTATCTACATTAGCACACAATGTGTGAGCCTCTGCGCAGCGTAGCGGAAAACACCCCAAATGTCGTTCATTTACATTGTCTCACTGTAGCATCATTTATAACCATGCACTTGCATTTCCAACATCATTTTTTAAACTTCAAGCAAAATGTGAAAAATATTACAAAATTTGTAAAAGTAATGAGATTTGAGCTTTGGGGATTTGAGCTATGGCTTGACTTAGCATAGGAGAAACTTTTATTAACTAATAGCCAAGTTATATTATTTCTATTTTGTAAATGTTTTATATTCCAATTAAAATTCGAAATTCGATTAGTTTTAGAATTCGATTTATGGCAAAAGTATAAGTAGAAGAACATTAAAATGAACTAGTGAACTTGTTCAATGATTCAGTGTTTATATAAATTAAATGCTCAACTGGCCTCAGTGACTCAGTGCATACAGAAATGGAACTAGTTTTACATATATATTTACGACTGAACTTTCTGCACTGACTCAGTGAACATTAAAATGAACCAAACTGGTTCAATGCATCATTTAACATTTTTTAATGTTAAGGAACCAAGTTCTTGAACGGCTAAACTTGTTCTTTTTTTAGTTAGGAACTTCGTAACTGAATTTGAACTAATAAGCTCTACTAACAAAAAACAGCAACACCTGAAAAGTAAGCGCTGTGGCACTGCCTTTATCTTCTTTAACAAATATCATATGTCTTCATAGACAAACGTCTGAATATTAACTAAGAGATTATGTCAAAATTTTGACATTGCCAGGCCCTTCAGCTTCAGTCAGCTGCAATTATTCAATTCACAAAATAAATATATATTATGTATATACATTTGTGTGTGTGTGTGTGTGTGCAGGTATTATCAACAGGTTATGCTAGCGCTCGAGTTACTCAATATGCAATCCATTGCAATTGCATCGGTGACATGTTTTGGCGGCATGCCATAAGAGCAGTCATAATTCCAAATATTTTACCGCCGATTGGCCCCCTATTGCTGCCACGCCCCCATTTTATGCAATGCCAAACGCCGCAGGTGGTGGGCTATAGCCAAACGCTCTCGTTGCACTCTCGCCTGATTATGCCTTTGTTCTCCTCTATTCTTAGACAAATTATGTGGAGCCTTTTCATATTTTCAGCAAACTCATGCAACATGTGTAATATATATATATATATATATATATACATATATATATCCAATTGCAGACAACGTTGTTTTTCCCTCTGCATTGCTGTCAAGTACAGCAATTCTGTTTGACAGTTGCTAAACCTGTGCTGCAATCGAGCCCCCAGCGTAATCAAGCATAAAATCGAGCAAAGACTCGACATGCTGCCACGCCCATTTTTATGCATGCTCAACATTGTTGAATGAGTCCAGATATGCAGCGAAGATTGTTAAGCAAAAGCTCAAAGCTCCGCATAGCAAAAAGTAGTTGAGAATTAGAAACGAGCTGATTGGATTTTGTTTACAGTTTACTTAAAGCTCTTTTCGGTAAAACTGTATGCGAGGTCTGTTTAAAGGGTTGTGTTTTAGTTTTTTATTTATTTTATTTATGTTAACTTTATCTCTGTTTTTTTTTTTGTCTACTTTTTATGTTTCGGCTATTCAAACTGTTCTACCTTGCTTTCTATATCAAATCATTTAAAATTGAAAACTTCGTAATTAGGCAAATAGCTCCAAATAAATTTTAGAATCAAGACAAATGCTGCTCATTTCATATTTCGATGAGGAGGATGATCTCGACATTCATGACTCTGAAAAGCTGCTGGAAAAACTATCGTTCTTTGTTGTGCTCCTACTGCTGATACCCTTATTTCTATTTCTGCTTTATAAAATGCTAAGCGACTGCAAAGATGTACCGGTAGATAAACAAATCAAATTTAATATAGTGAAAAATCAAATCAAATCAAATCAAATTACTTTTATGCAGATGAATGAGCGACAATTGGAAGAGGCTAGAAATAAAGTAGAAAAATATTAAAAAACAAATGAAAATAGTTTAAGGAAGCACAAGAAAAAATGAGAACAACACCAGAAATCTGGCAACTTATAATGAAATGCGTCATTTGCTTGAATTAATTGACATTCAAATCGAATTGAAATGCGAACGACGGAGATAGAGAGACATAGTTCGAGAGTGAAAGCGGGACAGCAAGAGAACTCGCTTCATGAACTGCAGCGCTTGAGAAATGACTCGTATTTAGACAAGCAAATATATCTACATATAAATTTTTGTATTTTTTCTATATCGAAATAGTGCACAAGGTCAATTAGTTGAAATACCAGAAAAATATAACAATTAAATATAATATTTTATTTTATTTTATTTTTTTCCGCTCAATATTGGTTTATTTTCGGTGATTGCAAATGCAGCTTTGGCTTTGACCAGTCACAGGGGCTTTGGCTATTGCGTAATTTGATTTGTTTTCGTTTCTCTTTTCTTACGATTCTTTTGTCGATTGCAAAGTGCGTTGGCAGTGAGCAAGAGTGAGAGCTAGAGAGTGCAAAACAACCCCCAAATTGCGTATGGGAAGATCTTCCTGTTCCAGTTGGAAGACAACGCAACAAGCATAACAATAAGAGTGTATAGAAACAAAGCAGGCTCTAGTTGGGTATGCGCGAGCAGCCAATGCCCTTTAGTTTTCTCAACTATATTATATAAATGTATGTGTATTCAGCAAGTGTGTTCATGTATGTATATACCCTACCCACTTATTTTCAATGGGTATCAATACAAGCTGTTCGGCTTCTTTGTGTGTGCGACTTCGAGGAACAAACTCCTCTCATGCGTGCGTGTGTATGTGTGTAAAGGAATTACGCGTTTCTTTTTCACATCGCTCAACCATAGAGATACCTGAGCTATTTTGCCTTCAACTCAGCCACAGCAACAAAAATAATAAAAAGCTGCCTTCAGGTGTCGTCATTTGGCTGCCCAAAAAATGAATCAAGGCGAACTGATCTCAAGGAATTTGCTCTATTTTATTGCTGCTGCCGTTGTGCTTGTTGTTGTATTGTTTGTGTAATTCAAAAGTTTTGAAATGCAGCTGCGCACATTTTGTGTTGTTTTAGCTTGAAAAATTTAAAGTACAGTCACATGCAAAGCTTTACATAGACCAAGAGACCTTCGAGGATGAGGTTATTGATAGAGAAGAAGCTGTAACTTGAAGGTTTGCTTGCGTGATGAAAATGTGTTCTGTCAAGGGTCTATTGGATGGGATTTATTAAAAATGTGACTTGTCAACATACACATATAACATATATACATACATACATACTTACATACATTGTTAAGTTGAATACTGTTTAGACTGCCCTCGTGTAATCTATAATTCCCTAAACTGTCCTATTTTACTCACTACGTCCAAACATAGGCCAATTACTGTTATGGGCAAAGCTCTGCACGCACACACACACATGCAGAAAATATCCGCAAGCCTTCGATTAAAAATTCCCGCTGCCTCTGCTGCTGCTGCTCGCTGGAACCTTCCAAAAAAGGCTAACCACAACTGCAAACTTCTCAGGAATTTGTTAATAGCTTTTTACCGATATCTTTTTGGGGGCCAACGATTGAACGTGGCAAAACGAAACCGTTGATTTTGTTAGAGCTAAAGGCGAATTCACAGGAGTAGCTGCTGCGGGCGGGGCGAAGTCGCGGTAGCTGCTGTTGCTCCTGGGTGCAGGCAAGCAAACCAAAAAGGAGAAAAAAAAAACAAAGTCAAAAGCTGCGCGGTCGCATTTTTCTAACGATTAAACAAATTCGAGGAAAAAAAGCGCATCCCATGCAACGCGCAGCCGCAGCCGCAGCCGCTGCTGTCCGTCACCTGCAGTTTCCAGGAATTGTGAATTGGGCAGCGCTTCCAAGGCTAAGCATGCTAAAGCAAGGGGAGTAGAGAAGAGAGAAGCAGAGCGATATAGAGAAAGAGAGTGAGAGATAGAAACTGTAGACACAGGCTACTACGAAGGCGCATGCGAAAGTCACAAGAGCAGCAACAACGAAGAAAGAAGCTAGAACCGACTGCATAATACTTGTTTGAGGATCGAAGAGATTAAAAAATTAGGTTTTACTGCGATGTAAAATTTCTTGAATAAATTTGGGAATTTTAATAAACACAAATATATTTGTTTATTATAAATGTATAGATATACAATGTGTATGAACGATGTATATACTATGTATGTATGTTTTCTAATTCCTACCCATTCATTTAAAGAAACAAATATTTGCGACCATTAATATACCCTATTTGTACTGCTCGAACGAGCATTAAAAGCAGAAGTAAAAAGTTTTGGTTGCATCTTGACGGCGGCATTTTTGAGCGAGCGCCTAATTCCAGGAATTAAATCGTATATCTTTTGGGTGCTACACAAACTCACACACGCACACACACACAAGCATACTAAATGCTCGATTAATTTCTAATAAATTGGCTGCTTGCCGCTAACAACGGAAATATGGTGCAGTCGCAGTCGCAGTCGCAGTTGCCGTCACTGTCGTAGCAGTCCTCGCTTTCAATATAGAATTACAAATACAAATGCATTGTGTTCGATTTCGCCTTGCTGTGAAATTTGAGGCTTTTAAAACTGAACGAAGCAGCGCGAGAGCAAGTGAGAGCGAGAGAGTGAGAGAGCTTTATGCTAGTAAGCTTTGCATGCCTGCTGCCTGCTGACTACTGTTGTTGCATTTTACTGAGAAAGTGCAAAGGCAATGGCAAAGGCAAAAGCAAAGCAGGCACTGGATTTGTCTTCTTGAGTGTGTGTGTTGTTGCTGTTGCTTTTGCTTTTTTTTTTATGTGTGTTATGTCAACTAACGCATTCATCTTTAACTAATCACAAATCCAAAACAATTTTTCTCGTCATTCTCGTTGCAGCATTTGTCGTGTTCGGAGTGCGCGTCCTGAAATTCAACTGACAACCAAAATAAACAAATCATAAATAAAAGAAATATTTATAAAACAATAGTAAATAATATTTAATGAAATAAATAAATAAAAAATATTTCATGCGCAGGCAGCGGACGTCGTCCACGCTTTACAAACGCAACAACAAACAATTGCAAAATTCCCTTTGGCTAAGAATTTGTTGCAGCCAAAATTGCTTTATGCACAAACGGCTAAGCAACGATTCGACGAAATTCCATTTTGGCAACATTGAAAACAAAACGACAACATTAAAAACAACAACAAACCACTCGAGGTATATAAAACAAAGAAACGTCCGCAACTTGTGGACAGCAGCAAAAGCTTCCACTGGCCTTGGCCTGATCCTTCCAGCGAGTCTACAACTAGAACTGGAACAACTGGCACAACTGGAACACGAGCAACTGGAACAACAAGTACAACAAAATGGATCCACAACAACAATTTTGCCTTAAATGGAACAGTTACTCGTCCAACTTGGCAATCACATTCTCCAATCTATTCAAATCGGATCTATTGGCCGATGTCACGTTATCCTGCGATGGTGAGTGCCAGCTAAAATTAAATTCTATATTCAGAGTGTGAGAGAAACAGAAAGATGTGCAGCAGTTGCAATTGCTTAAGCATAGTTCATATTTTGTTTTGACATCAAATGCAATGGGAGCTGCAGTTTTAGTTGGCAGGAAGATCCATTGATATATTCAACATTTTTCAATTTATTTAATTTTAATTAAACTTTCTGAATAGAACATACTTTTCTAAAACGTAAAAAAAATATAGATAAAATTGAGAGTAGAAAATAGCAAAATAATCGACAAAAAATTAGTTAATTAATTCACAAGATAGAAGATAAATAAATATTTAAATATTTTAAATATTAAAAATTTCAATTAGGTATTTTTGAAAATACTAAACACAATTATAAAAAAAAATTTCAATTAAGAAAGAATGAAATTTCAAAAAAATATTAATTAATAGAAATACGTTTTCATTTTAAACTTTATCCTTAAACTTTAAGCTTAGCTTTTTGGGGCAAACATTTATATTTCTTCTCAATTAAATCTATATTATTTTATATATAGTAATTCTGCACTATACAAAATATAAACAAAATGAAAAACTAAAAAGATGTCAAATTTTTTGCAAAGAAAACATTTACGAAAATAATCCGTTATTTTTGTAAAAAAATGTTTTTCATGATTTTAGAGAGATGCATGAAAATTAGACTGTTCATGGAAATAGTAGTGCTGGATGATTTTTATGATATAGATTTATACTTATAGATATGTTTTGTTAGTTGTAGATAAATTCATCTACATTTTACTACTTCTCCAAACCATCCTACCAAATCCTAGAAGTAGACTATGTTATTTGCTTCCAATCTAATGTGAACAAAAAACTTGTTGAATTTCTATGAAAATTTAGTCCGAATAAATTCAATAATTACATATTTATAAACGGAGATAAAAGATTGAAAGATACGTATATATTAATATTTATAAATGTGTATAAACATTTCTGACCGCCCTCGTATATACTGCAAGTCAATTGAGTTTCTATACACATTGAGGATTTAAGCCAATGCTGAGTGCGCTACAAAAGGAAACCAAAACTTGACCTTAAATGGGACGCACTTAATTTGGCTGACAATCAATAAGTCAACAGACAGCTAAACGGAGTTAGAGAGACATTCAGAGGGGGGTGGCAGCTGGAAGGTGGAAGACAGGCAGACAGACAGACAGAGACGAAGACAATGAAATTTCCTTTACCTTTTTGCTTTGCCTAATAAGCCGCTAAAAGTGGCTAAAAGCCAGTTTTGCAAACGCCCAAAAGCGGGCATTGATTTTTTTTCTGACAAGGCGGCAAAGTGGAAAATGCGGAAAAGCCGGAAAAGCGGCCAAAGGCAGGCCGAAAGACGCGCCACCTTTTTATGGGCCGTCTCGTTGTCTGTTCAGCTGTGTGTGTGTGACTGGCTGTGCGTGTGTGTGTGTTACTATTTCATTTACAGCATATTTTACTACAGTTTTATGGCGTCTTATTAAATGAATATAAATGTCTGGGGCGAGCGCACAGGCGGCACATTTAGCTCAGCTTCTATGGGCATTATATATGTAGGTTATATATAAGTAATAAATACATATAGAGGCCTATGTAGGGCGTATTGTGTGAGGTCAGTAATTGGTTTGGGTAGCAAGAGATTTGCTTACGGCTTCAGTCGGTGACAGCTCATTTTTAACCTTTGGCCAAGTCATGTGTAGACCTTTTTGATTGAAGATATTATGTGTGTACGTGGGTTAACGCATAGCTGTATATACACATACATTTAAATATATATATGGAGAAGAGTTTGGCAAACTTTTTGCTTACAAATTTATGTCTTCTAGCACTACGCAAACTTCTAAAGCCACCCTCGTGTTTATAACTCTATACTTTATGTATTAAGCAGTTAGAAATGTAACAAAGAAACTTTGCTTAAAGCTTTGCTGCACGCTTTAAAATAAAAATAAATAAAAAAATTACGCATACGCCGCGTTTGCCCTTTCTCGCTATACCAAAACATGTTCCGTCGCGTATTTACAGTTATTGAAATAGCAAGCGCCCAGTTGTACGTTTCACATGTCTGCTTTGTTGACGTAGTCCGCGCATATTTTTGGCCAACTGTGTGGATTATGTGCAGCTATAAAAAGCATACATATGTATATATATATGTGTGTGTTTGTATGTATGCGTGTATTTAGCTCTTTGTGAGCGGGCAGCTCTGCTGTCTGCCACGCAAACATATCCTGGCTAGCCAAAAAATCAACAAAAAACATACAAAAATACCCAAATCGCAATCCCTTGTCATCTATATCAATCGAAGTGCTACTACTTTTGATTAAAATTCTGAAATGAAGCCCCAAAAAAAAAATCAAATTTTAAGCTGCTTTTTTTGGGCTGCTTTTAATTGTGGTTTTTAATATATATGTACATGTATACATATAGACGTATATGATTTCTGATTCATATGTTTGATTTAACATTTCAAATTTTTTTGCTTTTCGAAATGAAGCCTTAAATATTTGCCAGCCCCTTCGAACAAAAGCAAATATAGCTTGTTTTTTTTCTGTTTCTTATTTTGCTGTATTTTTTCATTGTTTTTTAATATTCATGTGTGTTTTTTCGGTTTTCTTTTTGGGCTGGTTGGGGTTGCTTTTTTAGCACTTGAGAAATGAAAATTTGTACGAAATGAACATTTGCTTGGCCTTGGGCCATTTCGCATGCAGCCGTCTAGGCGTTGGTTCTCTTTTTTTTCTGCTGGGGGTTGTTTTACCGTTAGACGTTAGAGACGCCATCATTAATAAATAATAGCTATGAAGCTCGCTAATGGATGGCGGCTTCAAGTTCTTGGAAATCTGTGCAGCTAAAGTTATAATCATTTTTCCTTATTAATAGAGAGAGCTAAGAGAAGCTTTGGCCTTTAGTTCTTCACAATTCTAGAGAGTACTATATGCATATCTATATTTAGCCTTAACAAGCTGTAGTTAAAAGCCTTTGCAGGCCGAAAAGCACATTTAAGCTCCACGCTTAAGCTTAAGCTGTAAAATGCAGCTAGACTTAAGCTTAAGTGCATAAGGCATACATGTATAATTGAAAAGCTTTTTAATCAGCTTTTAACTAAAGAAGCAAGCAGTTGAAATTAGCTATAAATTAAAAGCATTTCGTTTTTCGTTTGTTATTCTAGTCAAAACATGATTCAAATTCTTAAAATTCTATGAAGGCATTTTCTATATTATTTAGATTCATATTAAAACTTCAGTTAAAAGCATGAAAGTTCATGGAATAGTAATGATTACATTTAAGTTTATCTTAAAACGCTGCCGTCTTATCCAGAATTCAAAGCACATTTAAGCTCGGCTTTTAAAAGCTTACTAATATTTCGAAACAATATAGAGCTTAAAATATGTGTGAAACCGATTTAAGTAGGCTTTCAAAGCACATTCAAGCTCACGTGTTACATAAATCGAAAGCTCATTCCTTTGCATATATATAATCTTTGTAGGCTTCTACATAAGCGTAATGAGCACTGGACTGCATCGTAATTTAAAATATGCCTTATCAGTATTTACAGTACATCAATAACCCCCAATGGTGCTATCTGATTAAAAGAACCTTGACTGCTTGAAAGCCCATTGGAATGGAATAATATTTTTACTATTTTCAAAGCGAAGCATGCAGAAAAATCATAAATAAATGAATCATCGAAAAACGTTTGAGAGATTAGTTAAAGAACTATAGATATGCGTATATATTTTCAGACATATATCTGTATATATATATACAGCTTTGAATTGTCAGCACAACAAATAATTTTCAAGTGCATAAAATGCGTTAAAACGCAAATCAAAATATTTTTGTATTAATGTTCAATTCACATATATACACAAACACACATACATAAATCTATATATAATATATATATATATATATATATATATATATATATATATATATATATATATATATATATATATATATATATATATGTTATGCAGAATATGCGAGACAGAACGTAAACAAGCTTTGGCAATTAGTTTGCCATTTGTTATTTTATTCCGTCTGTTTATCAGCGTTTAATTCCTCTATATATATATATATAAAATATATATATATATGTATAACTATATAACTTTATATATACCAGCATATACACATTTATAAAGAATGAAATTCTTCGTTTCCTAATATTTTTTTCGCTTGTGACCCAATTTCTGTTGTATCAAAGCAAGAAGCAAAAAACGAATACGAAAATAAAACGAAATAAAAATTGTAATCAACACACAAAAAACAGCGGCAACAACAATAACAATAACAATTGTTGTTTATTATTTGCCTGAATTATTGCTACGCATGCATTTCGCTACGATTTCGATGTCGATTTCGATTATAAAAGTTCAAGTGTATAAGACTTGCATCATTTGGCTATTGCATAACAAATACAGGGTATAAATAAATATATATACAAGATGTGGATTTGATGCAGCTCTTATACTAGCATACTTATACTCTTGAGCTCTGTTGCTTTTGAGCTCTTATAAACTCTTTTGGCTTGAGCGTATATAAGAGTGCTAAACTCTTATACACTTTGACTCTTATATACTTTGACTCTTATATACTTTGACTCTTATACACTATAACTCTTATACACTATAACTCTTATACACTATAACTCTTATACACTTTGACTCTTATACACTTCGACTCTTATACACTATAACTCTTATACACTTCGACTCTTATACGCTTCGACTCTTATACGCTTCGACTCTTATACACTTTGACTCTTATACACTATAACTCTTATACACTATAACTCTTATACACTATGACTCTTATACACTATAACTCTTATACACTATAACTCTTATATACTATAACTCTTATACACTTTGACTCTTATACACTATAACTCTTATACACTATAACTCTTATACACTTTGACTCTTATACACTATAACTCTTATACACTATAACTCTTATACACTTAGTATTACATATTAAGACTCTTATATAATGAATCACTGACGCTACTGTAAATGTATATCGCTATAAATCTGAGTATGTTTTGACAGTGATTTATATTAATCGATAACTTTTCTTTCATAGCTTTCATATATATGATGTAGAAAATAGGAAAAATTACAAACAAAATTAATTTTCAATTCAATAAATATAATTTCAATTTCAATATATATCGATATATTATCGATTACTTAGTTATATGAGCTGTTTTTTGAATTCAATCTCAATATGTAATTGAAGATGGTTTTCTCTGATAATTAACACAAAATCTTCTATATATGTATAGTACATAGAACGATAATATTTATCGATAGTAGCTTTATACTTTTATTGAAACATACTAAATTCCTAACTGCTACCAACTCAAATAGATGTCAAGATTAGCAAAATTTGCGCAGATTGTATTTTTTTTTCTTACTCTGTTTCGTTGCTTGCTTTGATTTCATTTTTTAGTAATATCTATGTATGTAAGTGTATAAATATAAAGTATATATATATATATATACATGGCGTAGTCGCGTCGCTGATACGCAACGCTTATCAAGCGCGTGTTGACACACATTTCAGTTGAAATATTTCCTCTAGCTGCAGTTCGATTAGATTAAATGATTCGCCCAATCAAACACATTCTATGTGTCTGTTCCTCTGCAGCTAGCCACAAAGTTTATTATTGGCTTAAATGTGTGTGTGTATGTATGTGTGTGTGCATGTAAAATTGAGTCTCATTTCAATGTGACACAGGTTAAGTGTGACACACAAACAGAAGCTCACAACAAGTGCCCCATAAACTCGAGACACACTTCGACCGCCCCCAGCTTATTCTACTTGTAATTGCCAGACAGCTCTGCCAAAAAGTAAGCGTGAAAAATTCTGCACAAGCAAAACAGCGAATACCCCTACCCACACACTTATATATACATATATATGTAACAAAAGGCAGCCAGGCGACGCAGTCAAGAAAACACATAAAAATATACTTATATTGTCAAAGGAAGGGCGCGCTTCCTTCTGACTGTGTAAAAGGGATATTGCGTATACGCCACCATAGCAGCAGCAGCAGCAGCAGCAGCTGCTTTCTGTGTGTCACAGGTACACACACACACACACAAAGCCAAGACGTCGTGCAAGACGTTGAATTTGATGTTGAATAATAACTCACACACACACAACACACACACACACACAATATGTATGTCTCTCTGTGTGTTTGTGTTTGGTCTAAGAGCGAGCGAAATGATTTCCTTGCTCGACTTTTATTATGCTTTTGTGTGCGCCTGATATCTATATATTTGTATACATATATATCTGCTTGTGTATATGTGACATGATTTTTATGAGTTCAAGGTCTTTGGCGCGTTTAACGCTCTGCGGCGCCACCTGTTGGCTGTTGGCTGCATTTTATAGCCACAAGCACAGAGCCAAGTACGCTTTAATTTCTTTACTCAGCGCTGAGCGCCTAAATGACAGCTATAAACATTGATGTATATAAATGTGACTTCTTTGTGGCTTTTTGTACTATATATGCTTGAAATTGATTTATTTGAATAATTTGTATTTGTTTTACTGGCAAGGTTACAACAGAACTTTAAATTTTTAAATACAAATTGAACTTAAATATTAGCTCGCCAGATTACCTTTTGGGCCAACTAGTTTGGTTATATAACTCTCAGCCAACTTGTGTTTCAGTTGCCACTCTTTTTGGGCAAATGCCAAGATTTATTCAGAGAGATTTAAAATCATTTAGCGCTTCTCTATTGGGCCCAGCAGGCACCCAGTAAAGAGATTACATCCATTCCTTTTCCATCCACTCTCTTTGCTTAGGATCTCGTTTAAGATTTCTCTATTAGGAGGATTTCTCCTTGAGGATCTCTCCCTGAGGATCTTTCCCTTAGGATCTCTCCCTTAGGATCTCTCCCTTAGGATTTCTCCCTTAGGATTTCTCCCTGAGGATTTCTCCCTGAGGATTTCTCCCTGAGGATTTCTCCCTGAGGATTTCTCCCTGAGGATTTCTCCCTGAGGATTTCTCCCTTAGGATTTCTCCCTTAGGATTTCTCCCTTAGGATTTCTCCCTTAGGATTTCTCCCTTAGGATTTCTCCCTTAGGATTTCTCCCTGAGGATTTCTCCCTGAGGATTTCTCCCTGAGGATCTCTCCCTGAGGATCTTTCCCTTAGGATCTCTCCCTTAGGATCTCTCCCTTAGGATTTCTCCCTTAGGATTTCTCCCTGAGGATTTCTCCCTGAGGATTTCTCCCTGAGGATTTCTCCCTTAGGATTTCTCCCTTAGGATTTCTCCCTTAGGATGTCTCCCTTAGGATGTCTCCCTTAGGATGTCTCCCTTAGGATGTCTCCCTTAGGATGTCTCCCTTAGGATGTCTCCCTTAGGATGTCTCCCTTAGGATGTCTCCCTTAGGATGTCTCCCTTAGGATTTCTCTCTGAGGATTTCTCTCTGAGGATTTCTACTGAGGATCTCTCCCTGAGGATCTTTCCCTTAGGATCTTTACCTTAGGATCTCTACCTGAGGATTTCTCCCTGAGGATTTTTCCCTGAGGATTTCTCCCTGAGGATTTCTCCCTGAGGATTTCTCCCTGAGGATTTCTCCCTGAGGATTTCTCCCTGAGGATTTCTCCCTGAGGATTTCTCCCTGAGGATTTCTCCCTGAGGATTTCTCCCTGAGGATTTCTCCCTGAGGATTTCTCCCTGAGGATTTCTCCCTGAGGATTTCTCCCTGAGGATTTCTCCCTGAGGATTTCTCCCTGAGGATTTCTCCCTGAGGATTTCTCCCTGAGGATTTCTCCCTGAGGATTTCTCTCTGAGGATTTCTCTCTGAGGATTTCTCTCTGAGGATTTCTCCCTGAGGATTTCTCCCTGAGGATTTCTCCCTGAGGATTTCTCCCTTAGGATGTCTCCCTTAGGATGTCTCCCTTACGATCTCTTCCTTTAGCTATCTTCCGTTAGCTATTTTTAAGGCTCTAACCTTTAAGCTTTCTCCGTGTCTCTCTCTCTCTCTTAAAGCTCACTTCATCAATCGTTTTCTTCGTAACTTTGTCTCCCCCTCTAACTATCTCTGCCTATTTATCCTTCAATTTCTTCCTATATTAAAGCTCTATCTTATGCTCTTTAGTTCAAAAAGCTCTCTGAAGCTCTCTCTTCAGTCAAGCTTTTCCCACTTTATCAATGTATAATAAACCTTTCTCCCTTCTCTCTCTTTCCAGGCGCTGTATTTAGAGCACACAAATTAATCTTGGCCGCCTGCTCGAAAAAGTTCGCCGATCTGTTCGAGAACACGCCCACAAATGGCCAATGCGTCATCATATTGGAGGCGACCACGCCGGATAATATGGCCGCGCTGCTGGAGTTTATGTACAAAGGCGAAGTCCATGTCTCCCAGGAGGCGCTCAACAGTTTTCTCAAATCCGCCGAGAGTCTACAGGTGAGTCCGTAGCCGGAATGAATCTTTACTATAAATATAATCTCTGTTCGATTGCTCTACAGGTCAAGGGTCTGTCCACAGAGACGGGCCGTTTGGCCGCGCAGCAGGCACAGCAGCAACAACACATGGGCGACAGTTCGCCCTTGGACTCGCCCACTGGACGGCGCAGCATGCGAAATAGCTTGAGCGGCAGCAGTGGAGGTGGAGGAGGAGGAGGAGGTGGAGCTGGAGCTGGTGGTGGAAATGGAGCTGGTGTTGGTCCAGGTGTTATTGGCGGCTCCAATGGCAATGGCCTGAGCCTGGCGGGTGCGCTCAGTGGCATGGCAGCTGCCGGTGGCATGGCCGCTGCGGCGAGCGTCGCTGCCAGCGGGCTGAGCGCCTTGGCGGCCAGCGCGGGCGCCTTGGCGGATCGCTGCGGCAGTGCAGGTGGCAACATCATTAGCGGACCCTTGAGCGCAGGCGCCGGACCCGGACCGGGTAGCAATGGCGGTGCAGGTGGCGTTGGCGTTGGCGTCGGTGGCGTAGCGGGCGTGTCCGGCGGCTCGATTAGCCTGGGCAGCGGCGCAGGCACCGCTCTGCACTTGGGCGGTTCGACGGGCAGCTTAAAGCAGGAATGCGACTCGCTGATGCATGCGAGCAACGCCAGCGGCATGGGCGGCATGTCCGGCTATGTGCCGCCCATGTACCATCGTCCCATGTCCTTCAATGAGCCGCTGCGCAAGCGCGCCTTGCGCAGTCCCTATGCCGAGCAGGAGCTGCGCGGCAGCGTGCTGCGGGATGGCTCCAAGAACTCCTCGGAGTGTCCCAGCCCCATCAACAAGCCGACCTACCATCGACCCTCATCCAGCGCCTCCTCAACAGCGCCCACCGAGGCGGACACAATGCACTCCGAGCGCGCCTCACCACAGTCCAGGCAAGTGTCAAAGATTCAAACATCTCAAACTGTTTCTATAATTTGTTTTCTCTTCTTTAGCCGCTATGAGAACCACAGTCCGAGCACCACAGCCGGCAATGGCAATGCGCCGAGCAGCTTGGATCGCATTGTCAAGTCGGAGCGCAACAATGGCAGCGCCAACGAGGCCAACGATGATGAACGCGAGCTGATGGACGAGTCGACAGATGTATGAAAAAAAACACGCTCTCTTTACCCTCTCTCTCTCTCTCTCTATATATATTTAAAGATATTAATAAAATGAACTCTCCTTAGAATGGCGCTGAGGATTTGCGCGTGAAGCTGGAGAACTCGAACTTCTCGCCGCCGCCAGCCAACTCGAACACCTCGTCGACGACACCGAACACGCTGTTGGAGAACTTGAAGAACGCGGATGGATCGCTGTCGGGTAACCTGGCCGCTTCGATAGCGCCCGCCGACATGCTGAACGTGTGGAATGCAACGAAGATGAATAACAAGAATAGCGTCAATACGGCCGATGGCAAGAAGTTGAAATGTTTGTACTGCGATCGCCTCTACGGCTACGAGACGAATCTGCGCGCGCACATCAGGCAGCGGCATCAGGGCATACGGGTGCCGTGCCCCTTCTGCGAGCGGACGTTCACGCGCAACAACACGGTGCGACGGCATATAGCGCGCGAGCACAAGCAGGAGATTGGCCTGGCCGCTGGCGCCACGATTGCGCCCGCTCATGTTGCGGCAGCGGCGGCGGCAGCAGCGGCGGCCAATCATTCACCATAGGAAGCAGCCGCAACGGCAGCGGCAGCAGTAGTCATAAATGCAAACAAGGAGGCAGCAAAGCAGCGTAAACGTAAATCACTCAAAATGGCATTGGAGAAGTGCATGCAGAGGCGGGATGCAATGGCAACCGCAGGCGAGACAATTGGCGGTGGCTTGGGCGGGGGAGTCGACGAAAGCGAAGCGGCGGCAGCTAGCGGACTGCTCAGCTTTGTGCAGCAGCAGCATCAGGCGCATCAGGAGCTGGCTATGCAAATCAAAGCGGCAATGGCTGCTGAACAGGAGCAGCAGCAGCAGCAGCAGCAGCAGCAGCAGCAGCGAGCAGAGGCGGAGGCAGCAGCGGCGGCGGCTGAGGCAATGGATACCACAGCAAATACAACAACAACGGGCACTGGCACAGATGCCAGCGATGCCGAGGCTAGTGAGCTTAGCAAAGCCTCAGCCATGGACATCGATGAGCAGACCGAGACGGAAATAGAATCCGAGTTGGTTGTTGTAGAGCCAAAGATAGAGCCGCTTAGCGATAGCGAGGCTGAGGAGGAGGAGCAGGAGCTGGCAGAGCAGCAACAGCAGCAGCAGCAGCTGAGGCACTATAATGCCACGCCCACCAACGAACAGCCACGCACGCCCACGCCCACCAGCCCGCCGCCAATGAGCTCCACGCCCAATGCAAGCGAGCACTAAAAACAGCAAAAAAAAGAATTAAACTTGAATTAGACCCGCCCCCCACAAATTGAATTTAAAGCCTAACAATGAGTGATTGATTGAGTGATGATGATGAAGATGATGATGATGATGATGAAAAACGTTTACGCTAAAGGATCATGAACAACCAGATGATCGCCAGATGAAGATGAAGATATGACTACTGTTGCAACTGTCGTTGCCCTCGGAGACCAACAAAACAAAGAGCAAAGACCCAAAACGAAAACTGGGCAAAATGTTTACTATATAAATTAAACTAAAACTAAAACTAAAACTAAAAAACTAAATTTAAAAAACACACACACACACACCACTTACACACATACACACAAGAGCAAAACACAGCTGCAGTATTTGATACAAATTTTTTACAATTTATTTACAAACAACAACAACAAAACAAGAGACCAAACAACAATTTAAATTAAATATTTTCCAATTTATTTTAAAACACAAACGAAACATTAACAAAAAGGTAAAAGCAAACGCAAACCGGCTGAAAAATCGTTTTCAGGGTGCTAATTAAATGAAGATAAAAACAAAACTAAAAACTATATAAAAACAAAAAAAAATAGTGAAGCTTAAAAAAAAAGATAAAATAAAATAAAAACAAAGTTTGAACGTTTTTGATTGGTGCCGTAGCTGAAGCAAACTGAAACAAGATAATTGTTTATGTATTTTCAAAATATAATTCACAATTATTATTTCAAAAACTAACAGAATTTAATGTAAAACAAAACAAAACAAAAAATAGCTGCAATACTACAAAACAAACAAACAAACTACAAAGCAACAATAGCAACAAAAACCGCAACCAAAAGTACCTGCAACAATTTAAATAGTATAAACAAAAACAAAAACAAAAATATTAAAAAAAAAACACTAAAAAATACACAAAGCATTTAATTTTTTATAATAAAAAAAAAATAACAAATTGAAAAATTGCGTCGTCAGCTGAGCTCGAAAGAAATGCCTTGCCTAAGTTTTTTGTAAATAATTTTATTAAATTTATCATGCGCAAAGGCAAGAGCAACAGGGCCAGCTGCCACGCCCACTACCCCATGCCGTGTGCATTTATTATTTTTCAAATTTTTTATTTCAAGTTTTTTTTTCATTTTCAAAAAAATCTGCACACGCGCCTTAAATTTTAAACAAATTTTCAATTCAATTTTTTAAATTCTTTCTTTTTTTTGACAACAAACACAAAATAAATAAAACAATTGGTAAATTGGGTGCCTATAAAAAATATATAAAATTAAACGAAACTATTAGTAAAATTTTATAAAAGAAAACGTAACAAAAATGCTTTTATATATTTAAATAAAGAACTAAAGTAAAATAAAAAATAATTATAGCAAAAGGAAAACAAAAACTTGTTAAAAAGTAACAAAAGGAAACGAAAGAAAAACCTCTCAAAAACGTTCTCAAACAAAAACAACAACAACAAACAGCAAAATCGACAACAAAAATTCAAAATCGAAAACTTTTGGCACACCTTTCGAAAACATTTTTCAAACAAAAACAATTTTCTTTTCTAATTTTCAAATAACTAAAAACCAAAAAGAAATTTATTTAAATTCAAAATTCAGTTTTTTCGGCTCTCAATATGATTTTTATAACAAAAAAACAAAACAAAAAGAAATGCTGTAAAAAGAAAATGATTGAAAACATATTTGTTGTAAGCAAAAGAAAGTAAAACATAAAATAGCCAAGGCGTCCGACCGTGGGCGTGGCACTTGTACATAGCATAAAGGCAAAAAGAAAATGCAAAATAAACGCAGAGTTTTAGAGTTTAAGGTTCAGTTGTAAAAGTTTATATAAGGAATGCCCCTACTGCTGGGCATGTAGAACATGAAATGTCATGTATATATATACATATGTACATATATAGATAAATATGTGTGTATGTATATGTATATATGTATATGTGAAGCGCATATGTAGGAAACACTTAGGCTCGCCAAAAGTTGCTTGCAAGTAATTTTTCGTTTCCCGTTAACTTTTAGTTTTTTCTACACTAATTTTCCGTTTTTTGCTAGACTTTTCATTTTACATATAAACTACAGGGTGATACACACACACACACATACATATATACACACACACGCGCACACGCACACGCACACTCAACTGCAATAGCTAACGAAATAGTATTCACAATAATGAAAAGAGAGAAATCTAGTTACAATATACCCCTATATATACATATACAGCCTGGCCGCTTTGAGAATCGCATAGAGCAGCTCGAGCGGCCTCCTTTTCTTGTGTAGTTTTTAATCCTTCGCCTCCTCCCACTTGAAAACCAGTTTGTTCTGTGATCTGCGGCGTTTCAGACGTTGCAAAGTTATTTTTGTTTTGCTTTTATTTAATTTTTTTTGTTTCTTTCGATATAGTTCGCTTATAAATATATATATATATATAATTATATATATATATATATATATCTTTATATAGTACTTTGATCCCATCTTTTAAAAACTCGAAACAGCAAGAAAAGAAAAAGAAAATAATGAGAAATAATTGCAATAATTTAATTTTAATATATATATATATATATACACATATATGTACCCTGTAATTTAACCCTACACATACACGCACTTTCGCTCAGCCGCCACCCCGCCCCGCGGACCTCGCCCATTGTTATTTGCCGCCTCTGCGCTAGCCTGGCCGCAAAACGTTCTCTGGAGTCTGAATTACATATTATTTTTTAAGTACGTTTTGCGGTCGTGGTGGGCGCTTGGCAGTGTCAAGCAGCACTGGGCGTGGCACACACCCAGAAACATTAGAGAGTTAATACTAAATAAAGAAATTTAATTTAAGTTTTTATGTTTAGACTTCGCACACATATATATGTGTGCATATATGTAAATCAAACTCAGGAACTCATATACCTCAGAAATCAGAAACTAAAACTTTGTTTAAAATTGCTTTATATATATATATACGCTTATATATATATAGGGTTCAAAGTTCATTTGAAGATGCTAAATAAAAAAAAACAGCTTTAGTTCTTAGTTATGTATTTTTTATGTTTTAGTTGTTTATTTTTACCTAAACTAAGCTTAAATATTAAAGCAAAAGACACACACACACACACACAACAATAGCAATAATTACAGCAACATTAAAATATATCGAACTGCAATAGTTAACTGAACTACCTCAATGGGCCCCAATAGACTGCGCATATAGCAAAAAACAAAAATATTTTTAAATATAAAAAAAAACTAAAAATAACAAAACTTTTTTTAAGTTTTGTTTAAACACACAAACCACACACACACCCGCACACACACAAACACACTGAGACACCTTTTGGCTTTGGTTTTCATTTCGAAATATTTACAAAAACAAATTTCATTTGCAACACAATTTTTTGGCTTTAACTTAAACGAAAAAAATCCCAAAAATTTTGGTTGTAAAAAAATAAAAACTTCATTTGTGTTTTTTTAAATTAGGTTTTTGTAAATATGCGCTAAATTTAAACACGAAATTTCAACAAGAAAAAATGGAACACATTTAATGTAAAGTTAAAATCTTTTGGCTATCTAAAAACGTAACTTTAAACAACAAAAAAAAAACAAAACAACACAAAAATAATTAAAAAATTTTACTATATGCTAAGAAGGTCATATGTTGTATACATTAAAAATTTTTGGCAAAGCAACTAAATGAGGCAAAACAAAAACAAAAACATTACATTAACTAAATATGTAAAACACAAAAATGCAAAAAAAAAACAAATACAAAGAAATTATTTTAAGGCTATCAAAAATTTTGAAAAAAAAATACAATTTCAACTGTAACTGTCCAAAAAAAATTAAGAAATAAAAAAATTTTGTTGACAGCCCCAAGAAACGAAAAAAGCAAAACAAAATATAAATTCAATTCAATGCGCAAACCCAAAATGGTTATAAAAACAAAATATGTAAAAAAAACAAAAAAAACCTTTCTTCAAGAAAATTTTTGCAAAAAAAAACGAAGCAAAATCTATTTTAGGCTTAAACTTTCGGCTAAAATATTAACAAAAAAAAAAAAACAAAAAGAAAATGTAAACTTAAACAAAAAACAGCATATTTTTAACACACAAAAAACATTAGGCACTTGCTAAAAAAATAATAATAATTAACAGTTATTTGCATAAATATTTATTTCGAGTAAAAAAAATCATTTTTAGGCCCAACTTTTGGCTCAAAAAATAATTTCTTTGTAAAAATGTAAGTGAGAAAAGCGAAAAGAAGAAGAAAAATGCGTAAATTAATAACTAAATTTAACAAAAAAAATTAAACTAAACACAAATGTCGCCATTTTGCATTTAGAAGAGCGTTAAAAGTTGAAAGAAAAAAAAAACAGAAAATAAATGAAAAATTGATTGTGCAAAACAGAGAAAACTTTTAATGTACATAAAATAAATTAAATATTTAAAACAAAAACAAAAATCTATAACATATTTTGTTTTTGTTTTTTGTTTAATTAAATTTAACATTTTTTTTATAATTTTTGCATTGTATAAATTAATTTTTAAGTAAAAAGTGTAACACGTGAATTATTGTGTAATTGTGCACAGGTACAAAGAGCTAAACTTATATATATATATACGATGAATATATATATAAAATAAAAAATAAAATAAATAAACACGCGATGTATGTAATTTTTGTTATATATTTTTTGTTAATACTTGTTTTCTAATTAATATTTAGTTGAATATATATTCAAAAAAAAAAAAAAAAAACAAAAACAAGCCAATTGTACTTATAAACAATTTTCATCAAACTACACTGAGCGAAAAAAATAGTTACAAAATTACATAAAAACTCCTTTACGTTCTGCTACACTGAGAAAAAACTTGTATCCGTAAGTTATTTGAAATAACTATAAAAACAAATATGGCAAGCAGTTAAAAACCGAAACGAAATTAATTTTTAAGCGTAAAATGTAAAAAATGTATGCTATTTTTTAATTATAATTTAATAACATTTATGTTGTTTTTAATTTGTTTAAGCAGCACGCGAATTGGCTTGTTTACAATTTAATTTTAGTTTTTAATGTTTAACTAAATTTTAAAGTAAAATATATATATATATATATACAAAATATATATATATAAGCAGATATATATATATATATATATATATTTAAATAATTGCTAAATTAATGCAAAACTAAATAAATGTTAAAAACCAAAAAAAAAGAAAAAATTCGAATAATTGGCAAATTTTATTTTTTTGTTAACAAAATTTGAAAAATTTATATTTTTATTTTCACAGCAAGCGGACAAGAAACAAAAAGCATAAATATATTTTTATGTTAAGGCAAATACGTATACTAACGAAAGAGTTTAAAAAATAAATTAAAATAAATTTGTTTAGGCCTAAGCAAACTTTACAGTTCAGTTCAGCATTATATATATAATACATATATGTATATACATATATATGTGTATATATATATAAAGTCGATTCTGGTATCCCCGCCTGCCCCCTCTATGAATGTGTAAATCAAGTTGTTGTAAATTTGTCTAAAATGCAAATCGAAGCGAGTACAAATTAAATTTAATATATATGTGCGTAAAAAATATTATTTACTTAACATTTTTCTATTGAAATTATCAGTTTTCTCATTTTCATTTCTAATGTAAGTCACACACTTAATGGGAAAAATTTAGAGACAAAGCAAAAGAGGCATACAAAACACTTTTGGAACAAAGACAAGTACAAAATTTCAGGTAATACGAAAAAGTAGCAGTAAAAATTTTTTAAAATTAACAAATATATTATGCAAATACGTACAAATTTTTCGGCATAAAAAAAGTAAATTAAAAAAAAGCAAAAAACTAAAAATAAAAATTAAGTAAGAAACTGCCAACAAAAAAATGTTTGGCAATTGGTGTGACTTTTAGCAATGCTTTAGTTAAATAAATGAAAACTTGCAATGGAATGTATGAAAAGATATATTTATTTCTTAATTTATAAACTTTAGTTTTTAATTTAACAAAACAGCAACAAAACTTGAGTTACACATGCCAAAAAAATATAAAAAAAATAAAACTGCGCTGAACTGCAAAGTGTGCGAAAAAAAAATGAGAAAATTACAATGAGAAGAAATTTTTATTTTCAAAAAAGTTTCGAAGAAAGTCCACTTAATAAATATGAACGATGTAAATGTATGCTAAAATCTATGTACATATACATTTATTACAAAATAAAGGAACAACTTAAGCAGACGATAGTTTTAAAAAGTATATAAATAAAATCCATTTTGGAGCAAACTCAGGGCATTATCAAGACTCACGACGATGTATACATGCATTTAATACCAAAAAAAAAAAGAAAAACTTTTCGATATGTATTACAAATAAAAATATAAAAAAGTGAAGCAAAAATTTGTAATCATGCAAAATAAAAATAACGATTATGAACAACTCAGGTATTAAAAATAAATATTGAAAAAGAAAAATGAAATATTTTCAAAAAAAGGAGAACGACATTTTTTTCAAAAAAGTTGTGCAATATTCTTAAAAGTTTTCTAAATACGTAATAGTATTAAATAAAACTAAAACTAACAAAAAAAAAATCAAAGCAAGTAAAAGAATCGAGTGTTCATAAAAGAAAGTTAGGCATGGAAAGAGATAGAAATAGAGTGTAGAGAAAGAGTGAAAGTGAAAGAGCGTGAGTTTTTGAAGCAAATGACGATTTAGCCTTATAATTTTATATTTAGTTTCTGTTTTAATCCTTTTTGTTCATAACAAGCCACAAAAACAACAACACGACAACTATAACAACAAACAACAACAAACAAACATACAAACAAACAACATACGAAACACACACAACAAATAACACACAAAGATACAAAAAATAGTAAAATAAATAGCTAAATGAAAATGAGTTGATATAAAAGAAGGAAAACATAAAACTGTGATTACATTTTTTATTGTCGATGCTGATTGATAACAAAAATGTTGCATAAAAAAAAAACAAAATTGGCAAACTTATAAAAAACAAAAGGTAAAAGAAAATAGCTTATGATTTCTTTGATGCATAACTAAATAAATATTTAATTAGCCGAAATATTAAACTTCAAAAGATTTACTAAGCGTAAAAAAAAGCAAAAAAAAAAAAATAAAAAAAATACAAAATATTACTTATAAAATGATTTGAGTATTAGTAAATAATGTGTATCAAGTTATATAATTTACCACTTTTTTCATTTAAAAAAGAAAACAAAACAGAAACTTTAAAATTGTACGATTGAAAAACTAAAAATTCAACATTTAGTTCACATACCACTGAACACTTTCTGTATGTAGTGCACTTTAGTTAAAAATTAAAGTCTGAGATTTTACATTTATATGGTCAAGATATACACCTAATTAATAATATATAAAAACTTATTAAAAAAACGAAAAACAAAAAAAAATTGACTAAGTTTATGAATTATTTAAACAACAACAGTAAAACATACAACCAGAAACAAACACTCATACACACATTTATATTTGGCTATATACTACAAAAAAACTATATATATAGAACGCAAAATGTGTAAAGAAAAATGAAAAAAAAATCGTAACTAAACTGTATTTTCACTCTGATTTCTATATATACATATGTCTGGAATATGTGCAAGCGTGAAATTTAAGTAAACAGCTTAAATATATTTTTAATGACAATTCGGATTAAAAAATTTACGATTATGGCATAAACTTTTGTGTAAAATATTAAATCTAAGCTATACAAAAAAAAAAAAAACAAAAACAAAAAAATTACAGAAGAAAAAACGCATTGTAACAAAAACTCACACAGCATGGAAATGGGGAAAACAGATATTGAGCATAAAAAAGTATATGAACGAAAAATCTAAATTCAATAAACTTGTTGCAAAAATATAATAAAAAAAGAAACACTTGTTTTATTTACACACTTAGAAATGAAAAGTTGGCGCGTGTTGGAAGAAAACCTATCAATCGCTTTAATCGATAACTTAATTCGATAGCTATGGACTGCATGCTGGTCACACAGTTTGTTGAACAGCTGTTCGCTTGTTGACGTTATCTGTGAATGGTGAATGGACGCCATTGTGTTACGTGCTGACGAATCGAGTAAGTAGAAATTTGTTATTAATAGTGTTAACTTATGTTTTAATTTGTATGTAATACTGACAAATCACACTTTATAGCGCTAAATAAATAACGATTCGATAACTATCAGAGACGCTTCAGAAATCTGCAATTACAAAAGAAGAAATACAACAAATAAGGAAGTAAAACAGTCACAGTTAACAAAATGGTGAGTAATGCGGTTGATATGAAAACAAATCGAACAAAAAGAAAGGAAACCAATTTTAATGGTTGCGTAAATCCCTGCAATCATATTTAAATACACATGAGGCCAATATAAATATATGTACATGTCTATATGTATAGTTAGCCTATGACCTAAAACAAATGCCCATATATGGAAGTCTTCATAGCTTGCCGGGTATTACAGAAGGAGGGGCAAGGTAAAGAAGAAGAAGTGAAACACTTATCAGCTGTGGTTGGCAAAAAAAATTATGACTCAAATATATTTTTCTTACCACACGTTCGTTTCTTACAGTCGGAAATGCAAATGGATTGTGCACTGGATTTGATGCGACGACTGCCGCCTCAGCAGATTGAGAAGAATCTGATTGACTTGATTGATCTGGCGCCCGATTTGTGCGAGGATCTGTTATCATCTGTGGACCAACCACTGAAGATAGCCAAAGATAAGGAGCATGGCAAAGATTATTTGCTATGCGATTATAATCGGGATGGTGATTCGTATCGTTCGCCCTGGTCGAACACTTATTATCCAGCGCTGGAGGATGGCCAAATGCCATCAGAACGCTTACGAAAGCTAGAAATCGAGGCGAACTATGCGTTCGATCAGTATCGTGAGATGTATTATGAAGGAGGCGTCTCCTCTGTTTATTTGTGGGATCTAGACCATGGCTTTGCTGCAGTCATATTGATCAAAAAAGCCGGCGATGGCAGTAAAATGATACGTGGCTGCTGGGATTCCATCCATGTTGTGGAGGTTCAAGAGAAAACCACCGGGCGCACAGCACACTACAAACTCACCTCGACTGCGATGCTGTGGCTGCAAACCAACAAACAAGGCTCGGGAACTATGAATCTGGGCGGTTCACTAACTCGGCAAACAGAACAGGATGCCAATGTGAGTGAATCATCTCCACATATCGCGAATATTGGCAAAATGGTCGAAGAGATGGAGAATAAAATTCGCAACACGCTTAATGCAATTTACTTTGGCAAGACCAAAGATATTGTTAATGGTTTGCGCAGCACGCAATCGCTGGCCGATCAAAGGGATCAGGCGGCCATGAAACAGGATCTGGCTGCAGCAATATTGAGGCGTAATGTTAAACCCGAATCGAACTGAAGCTGAGTTGAGTGTGAAGCCTTATATATAGACAGTAATCGACTTCAAATTACAGCATTGAGCAATTAGTAAAGAAAAGAAAACACGAAAACAATGCGCATTTCTAGACATTAAATTTGTTAACGAAACATTATAATAGAAAACTTGTTAAATGAAGGAAACCACAAAAAAGAGAACAAACAAATGTATTAATGTAAATTGATTGCCCAGTTTTCTGAAACTCCTCACGCTCCGCCTTGTTGCATTTTTAATATCAAATTTCAAGTCCAGCTCTTTAGACAGTATCTATTAAGTATCTATATTTGAGTATTTTTTCTGTATCTGTATAATGAATATATATATATATCATAATTTGTAATCATATTTTTTGTATTCAAAAGTCGCCGCAAATATTTTCGTATTTCATTTCACTTTCGCTTTTGATTTTCGATTAGTTTGCATTTTACTTTTGGCAACGATTGCTGAGATTCGACATTTAAAATAATTGTGTTTATAAATACATATATATATATATAAATAAATTAAATAAATATGTATGTATGTGTATTGTAACAATAAGAAGCTCGAAACATAAATTTTACATTATGTACTTTTACTGAAACGCTCTGTATTATGTGAAAAATACACATTATGTACCGATCAGCGAAACATATCTATTTATTAATATTATGTTTTGAAGGAATGGCGTCATAGGGCAGATGTAGCTAAAAACTTGGTGAGAATATCATTCTATTATTTCTATTTTATTAATTTACCATATGGAACTATATATTTAAAATTTTTTTGTAAGATTTAAAAAAATTGTAACTAAGTCAACAATTTTTAATCATCTCTTCCAAATTATCAGGCAAATCAAATTAGAAACGAAGATTTCTATTTTCCTTTTCGATAGCTGATTAAGTGGGCTAATCGAAGCCTACTTGTAATATTTGTATCTCTTTATTCCAGGTCTAAAAACTTACTTTTTTATGTTTAATAAAAATTTTAAGTTTTGGTTTTGGTATGGCTATGCTTTTGTTTATTTTTCATGAAAAAATCGCAAACTGCGCTACAAGTTACAAGTTTTATAATCATTTTGTTTATCAATTTAGTTTCTTTTTTATCATTTTAATTAAGATAAGATGTGTGGTCTTATATCGAGAACATGAATACAAATATATTGTTTAGTTATCAGTAAATTGAATTGAAACTTTTTCCTGTTATGCGTATCGTTCAATATTGTTTTTCTTTATCATGATTATTATTACATTATATAGTTTATATAAATACTTTTCTGTTTCTTATTTTTTTTTTTTTGCATTATCAACTATATACAAAAACGCGACAACATTTATGCGTGTGTGTGTGGGTGTATCTGATAGAGTTTTGTATGTGGATCGTTTTCGGCTTTTCGTCAATACTTTAAAGTATTTTGTCGCACTAGATATCTACAAACTTAATGCTAAGTGATTACAAATAAGTTAAGATTTAGATATAATTAGTTAGGCCGAAAATGAAAAATAACTCATACGATTTTTGCTGTGGTTGCTGTTGTTTACATATACAATATTTTACACCGGCTGCCAAATTCGAAACGTGCTTGTGTGGAAATGGGGGAAGGGATTAGTTGTTTAGCATTGGGACAAAGGGCAACAGGAAGGACAGTCGAGGAGCAGTAGTAGACCAGCAATTAAAACGCCTCGACTCTCATTTAGTGCGTACATTAAATAGATATAAATAAATGTGCAGCATATATATATATATATATATATATATATATTTATATATATATGTATACATATATATATATATATATATATATATATATAGATATACATGTAAAAGTCTCTTAGGTACACTGCTTATTGCATTTTGGAAACTTCAAACTTAGTATTAATTATTTCCTCATCGGAATCGAGCACAGGCAGCGCTGGATCACCCATCGATGATGGTATATTCTCCTCCACCCAACGCAAATCGTCATCTTCGGTGGTTGTTGCTGCACGTGAGTTTTTAGTGGATTGTGCATTACCGTTTTGATGAGAGCCACGCATCTTAATGCCATACGCATCTGCTACAAACTGATCCTCTTCATCTGTAAGTGCAAGGCAAAAAAGTTAATAAATGTTGTGATATATACTTATTGTTGTTCGAGCTAACCCTCATCGTCCTCATCCTCTGGATTATCCAGCAGCGGTGTAAATGCATATCGCTGATTATTATTTGTGGGTCGCCAAAGAATCATAATGACCAGCAATAGCACAGAGAACAATATATGCCAAAAAGCTGTATCAATCCAGATATCTCGCCAACCCTAAAAAGCTTAAATATATAGACATAGCTTAAAGGCAATTTGCAGTTGGACTTACAGGCGTACAGCTCTCGGTTTTACGCAAACGCAAGGCAAACAACATAAAGATCAAAGAAGCAATAACAGCGAATATGAGCGTATTAGTAAAATGTCTGTACAGTGAGAGCTTAACCATATTTCTGCGCAGCCGCAACGTGCGCGTTGTCTGTACGAGCGATGTGAATATCCACCAGCAAATTACAGTATCCAGCACAGCGAGCGGTATGGTAGACAAGAGCAGCTCACTGCGATCGCTTTTGACCCGGGTAATGCGCAAATAGCTCTCCACGCAGGCCAATACAAAGTATAAAGTGCCCACGCCTACAACGCGATGCAGCATAGGACCCAAGCGAGGTCTGTCAAAAGGTACAGATAACAAAATTAAACTAGATTCGCCTAGCTCTACACATTCCATTACTTGACTATGCCGAAGCCCAGGCTCATTATGATGACCAACATTCGAGCTAGTGTGCGCTTAGCGCAGGATACAAACTCAGCTACTAGTTCAGCATGTTGCACGGGATAGCCTGTATTGGACACCGTTTGATACTCTGCATAGAAGAAGGCTTTCTCCAACATGCCAAGCAGTATGACACCTCCTATCCAGAATTGTATGCGCAGCAAATCACGCCATTGGGCAAATGAAACAAATAGCCAAATGATGCCAAATATGACGTAGACTACGCACATGATCAAATAGAACTGGAAGAGATAGTAAAAATATATAGTGGTATAAATATGAGCAATAACTTGATTAACTTACCGGCAAAAAGGGCCAATCGATGGCTGATATATAGCCATGTGGACTGAGGAATTCAATATGCACCGTGGCATGAAAAGGTTGACCAGGTGGAGACGTTAGTATGGTCAGCTCCAGCTCGTAGATGCCATCTTCAACAATACTCGCAATTGCCCTGGGTATTGCCTAGAATATGTTTGTTTATATATTATAAACTAACTGCCACATATTTAAATGTGTAAGGTTTGCACTTAGAATACATATGACTAATTTAATCAACTATTTATCAACTATAAATATATATTCATATATATTCAACCGATCTGCTGTAGATTGCAGTTGCCTATTTACTAATATCATTTATCAGTACAAAAACTTGTTTTAATTAGTTGAATTAGAAGTAGTCTTTAAGCTTATAATCTTGATTTAACATTTCTCATATGCATATTTCCTATAAATTCATATCATGTCATAAATATTCATTTACTTATCATATTCACACACAGCCAACGTATCTACATGTATAATATGATTACTAAAATAGTGAAATTAATTAAAGGGCAAGAAAATAGATAAGCATATAATATACAATTACTGCGATTCACTTTGCAGAGCTACTGTTATAATTGCTATAGTTGTGCTATAGACTTACAACAGAAATCAGAATTCTGTCGTAGCTATTGATAGAGTTTCTAAACATTCGAAAAACACGATTTTTTATGGTATTATATATATATATATACCGAACAACTAAACTACTCCTTACATATGCATTATTCCCCAAAAAAATATTTTATCAATCATTCTTATACTTCCGCATAGAACAACACACACACAATTATAAAGTACGATAAGTAGACGTTTCTGATAACAGTTTTGTATGTTCCTTAGATATTTGCTATTGAGTCAGACGCACACGCTAACACGCAGTTATGGAATGAAAATGTTGCTACAACAATTACCGAAAGTGGATTTCGGCTCTTCTTCAGCTCATGCACTTCCTCCGGCGCCTGTTTGCCAGCGACCTCCGCGGCATCGCTTAGTACGATAAGATGCGTGCAGTTGGCATATATATTCGTGGATTTCACAAGGTGACTCAAGCTAACATTTTTTTGCAGATTCGGCTTGTCGTTGAGTGTTTGCAGCTGTATAAATGTATATTGTCAATTTAAAAAAAAAAACATGTATGTATATATATATAGATTACTTACAAATCGAGCATCGTATAGACATGGATGTTTCGTCAACTTAAAGTTAATGGCTAATGGAACTTCCCCGTCAGAAGAGCATTCCACTATATAAAAGGGTGAGGGCAAGTGTACATAGAGCGAGTTTGTTTGTTGTGAAGGGGGTAAAGGGGAGTAGTAAAAAATTTTCAGTTATTGCAAATTGCTCACGTAGCAAAATTCATGCACTTACGTTTTATATAGATCTTTGTATTAGCCAACAGCGGACGCTGCTCCACAATCGGTTGCAGATCCTAATCAAATGGGAATTGGCCGTAAATTTTTTTTGCATAGTTTTTGTTTTGGTTTTCCCATTTTTACCTGATCTATAACAACGTTAATGATGCCGGGATCTGATTTGCCAGACGCCAGGGTGGCAAAACTGGCAAGTAGCGTCAATGTGATTGTAAAATGCTTCCACATTATGTATACGCCACACGAAACCACCTAAATAAATATTATTTATTTATTTTCTCTGTTTTGTTGGCTACGCGTTAGAACAATACTACTACAATTTATCGGTCAACAAAATTATCGATTACGGATTGTGACTGCGCAGTCGAAGGTTCTCTTGCCGGTGTCTGCATATTAATTAAGCGATATACTTATGAAAAATGACCAATTGCCAAATCAATCAGCAATCTTACGAATTGACTTTGGAGAAAATAAAAATGTAATTTAAATCATATTGTATATCAACCAATGTTGCAAGTAGTATTGAACAGCTGTTCAATTTAATCGTATAGAATACCGCAAGTACTTGTTCTCGTTTTCTGTGAATACCAATATTGTCGTTATCGGCTTATCGAAAAAACAAAAATTCAGCATTTTGTTCTTTTAGTTTTTGCAGATTGCTCAAATGTTTTTATTGCCATAAAACATGGTAAATGTTATGAAAGGAGTGCTCGTGGAATGGTAAATGAACAATTTTGAGTTGATTTATGTATTTGATTTAAAGAATTTCGTTGTAGTGATCCGGCTATGAAACAATTTTTGCTACATTTGGATGAGAAACTGGCGTTGGGTCGAAAATTTATCATACAAGACTTGGACGAGAGTCATTTGTTTATTTCCACGGATATTGTTGAGGTGCTTCAGGCGCGCGTTGATGAGTTAATGGATCGCATTAGCTTTCCATTGCACGAGAAGGATCCATAAACTTAAAAAATAATTATTTACTACAACCAAAATTATGACGGGGCGCGAATCACATCGGATCAAGGATGCGGAGAAGAAACGGGTCCTAGATGAAGCGGCACGGCTACGACGTGCACGAAAAGCCCTGGAAGCTCTCGAGCGGGATAACTTTCAAGATGATCCGCATGCTGATTTGGTTATGTCTAAAAAACTACCCAAATTCCAGGATAGCATAAAGAATGCCAAGGAAAAGAAGGGCAAACGAAAAGGAGCCGAATACTTTCGAGCAAAATATCGCAAGAATTTTCAACAACTGCTCGAGGAGGACAAACAAAGGCCCAATTACGAGAGCGCAGCTGCGCCGCCGCCTCAAAAGCCAGTTCGTCATTTTTGTGCTGTCTGTGGAAACTTTTCTCAATATTCGTGCACGGCATGTGGAACGCGTTATTGTCGAGTTCGCTGCCTGCGTACTCATCAGGATACCCGGTGTCTAAAGTGGACCGCGTGAATTTGGTTGTTAAGCTACTAATACCCCTAAACAAAATGTAATTTAGCTTTAGTATTCATGCAATAAAAAAAAAAACAAATATAAACTGCAATCTTTAAAATAAATCGATGACACAAAAGCTTGTATAAATGCATATCGATAAGTCAGCTGCTTCTTAACGATATCAGCTGACACACTGAGTCTGGTATGCTGTATAATTAATAATAGAACTAAATGAATTTTATTAAAATAAAGATGAGAATATTGCATTGAATTGCAATTAAGTATTATTTTAAATAGTGTTAAGAGCTCTCTTTGTATGGTTAAAAATATTTGGTTGTCGACGATCTCTGGGTGGGAGCCAGAGTTGTCTTTAACTTCGTATATGTGTCAATATTTGTAGCTTTTCATTGTGCGGTCACACCATCGCGCAGTCTCATTTCATTTTTCAAACAGGACAGTTGCTGCGCACGATTAACGCATTGTACAATAAATTAAATTTTAAGTAGAACAGCCCAAACGTTACAAACGAAACAAAACTCAAAATCTCTAGCAGACATTCAAATACTTGAAATATATAAAAGCAACGAAGTAAAAAGGCGAAAGAGCAACAAATAGGCCGGTCGACTGCGTGCGTGAGCATCCGTGTGTGTATGCGTGCCCATTCATATATGTGTTTGTGAGTGTGAACTAAAATCCAATCAGCACAAAGGATACCAAAGCTACAACAACAATAACAAGCAGAAGGATTTTAATTGTATTGCAAAATGGACTTCAATTTTGCGGATCTGAAAAAGGAAGCTGCCAACACGGCTGAGGATATTTTCAATGCAGCCAGCAAGCAGGTCAGCACTACCTACGATGATTTGCTCGGCGACGTCAACGCAAGCAGCGGGGGCGTCAATGTCAGCGGCGAGGGCGTGCAGGACGATAATGCCCATACCGAAAAGTATTTTGCCAATGAGCAAAAGAATCTGGATTTCGGTGATCCGCAGGCATTCGTGCAGCGCATGTCCGCCGGAGCGAAGGAGGCGCAGGAGCAGCTGGATGCAAAGTTTGCACAGAAAGCGGATGATTTTGGAGACTTTCTGAAGGAGAGCGCAAAAGAGGTAAAGCAGAATATCGGAGAGTTGACCAGCGACTTTATGAATGTGGAGCGTGGTATGTTTGGAGATGCTAGCAAAGCAGCTGCTCCATCTGCCGCTGCCCCAGCTGTTGCCCATGCTGCTGCACCTGTTCCAGTTGCAGCTGCTGTTCCAGCTGCCAAGCCTGTCCAGGATCAGGAGGCGGATTTGCTGGGCTTCAAGCCAATGAACAGTGCACCTTTGCAACCCTTTGAGCCAACTGCACCCACAGCTCACGACCAGTTTTATGATGATGACGATGATGACTTCCTAATCAAACCAACTCCAGCTGCAGCTGTTGTGGCTCCTGCAGCTCCTGCTGTAGCCAATACGGAATCTGATACAGATTCACCTTCTGTCTCGTACACTCCGTCGCCGGCTAAGAAGCCCATTGCTGATGCGCTCAAGGAGCAGGACAATGAGAAATTCATCTCTTCCGAGGATCTGCTTAGTGACTTTAAGGATGTTCCAGCTTCTGCAGCAGTTCCGGCTCCAGCCGCAGTTCCATTTCCATCTTCCACTCCCGCTCCTGCTCTGATTACCGATTTGGATGATGACGAATTTGTTGTTAAGCCGGCGTCCAAGGTGGAGCCTGCGAAGGTGGAGCCTCCCAAGGTGGAACCTCCGAAGGTGGAGCCTCCGAAGGTGGTGCCACCAAAAGTGGAGCCTCCCAAGGTGGAGCCAGTCAAGCCGGAGCCAGCCAAGCAGCCGCAGCCGCCCAAGCAACAACAACAACAACAACAACACCCAAAAATCGTATCTGTGGAGGAAATCTTTTACAAGTACGGACTTGGTAAGTGAAGATACAAATAGATACAAACTTCGGCTAGCCGACTATTTAATACACTTGCCAGCTGAAGATATTGTCAATTATGATATATCATATAGAGATATGCAGTTCGTCTAATATTGTGCCTTATAGAAACTGAAAGAGATTTTATTTATTTTTTTTTAATATTTTACTAATTACTATAGAACTTAAAAAGAAAATTTGAAGCTCAAAAAGAATTTTGATTTAAAAAAATTAAAAATAAAATCAAATAAAAAATATTTCTATTTAGGTTTTATTCTTAATTTTTATATTTTAAAGTTACATTTTTTTTTCAATATACAAAATTTCAAATTTATAAAAATCTTCATAAAGCAATTAAATTAATACAAAATTTTTCCTATAACTTTTGAGCTTTAAAGATAGGAAAACCCATAGTCAGTTTTGATTAAACCCGTTACCCATTTACTCTTATTATAAGATCATTCTGATAAGTTCAATATATCAGCTGCAAGTGTATAGAATATAATTGACATATATATATTATTGTTTTTCGTTATCATTCTGTATCTAATTAGTTTTTGTGCCTGACTTCTAGTCATATTTTTTGCTCATTTGTGTTTGTTGTTTTTTGTCCCTCTTGTGCATCCTCGACCGCACCTTTAGACGTGAACGTCACCTTGCTGCTCTGGTCACTCTATTACAGAGCGGATGTTGTTGTTGTTGTGTTTTCGTTTTTATATTTGTTACTTAGTCACTCTTTTTTAAACAGTAAATAAGCCGCTTGCACGCTCTTTTCTCCACACACATACTCTCTTCTCCACACTCTCTCTCTCTTTGTAGCCTGCGTGCCTTTTGCTTTACGGCTTTGGCATTTAGTTCTTATTTTTTGCGTTCGCTGATGTCATCGGCATCAAGTTTTGCGCTGTTTTTAATGTACACACTGAATACAACAATGCTTAAATATATATATATATATATATATATATATATATATGTATATCTAGATATATATATGTATTTAACGCGAATTGAATTTCAGTTTGGCAAACGTTTTTCGTTACGGCTGAAAATTTGCATGCAACCTCTCGCCCACCCTCTTCCATTCGCTAGCTGCGGCGCTCTCTTGCAGAGCTTTCCAGCGCAACGGATCGCCATTCAGAGTGCTGTTAACTATCGATAGCAATTTAGCTATTTAACCGCTTTGACTAGTTTTAAAATTTGAATTGGCTAAATTGAATGAGTAAAAGTCAATAAAATAAAATTCTAGCTAAAAATAGCTAGATAAGTGGCTAACTTTGGGCAACCCTGATCGAATGGAAAATATCGTCGTCATCGATTCTTGAGTCACGGCTGCGCAATCACTCTTAAATTAGTCAATAGAACTTATGGCATAGTTTTAATGTGCTGTTTCTTATTTATATATACTATATTTTATTCATTATATTTCACCCCGATGAATCAGTATCTTTGTTGCTCAACCTCTGCTGTTGTTGTCTCATTCATTGATGTGCGGCACAGCATTCATAATTCATATTTCACATTTAATTTTTTTCTTTCTAGTTTTCGAACTACATTTTAGCGTATGTCCATTAAAGCAATTATGGAAAAAGAGAAGAGCGATGGGCCAAAAAGAGCGCGCGCAGCAGCTGCTGCTGCCGCCGCTGCTTTTCGAGTACTCTTTAATTTAAGCCTTGCCTGCATAATTCAATTGTCTAGTTGGGGGCCCGCTTCACTGCGCAAATTCATTTTAGTATCAGATTTTTATACCCCGTTCGTTAAGTGCAAAGAAGTATATGGACTTCTTCAATGCCTAATCACAGATTATGTATATATTTAGATCGGGATAAAGAATACTCATGCATATATTAAAACTAATTTTTATTCATAAAAGTCATAAAAATATTATTAGTAATTGCACAATTAATAGAGTATTGTGCAGTCAATCAAGTTACTCGATGTGTTCTTTTTTCCAATCTGCGCCTTTATTTTCACCGCATGCTGGCAAAATTTTCCAATTAGTAATTTCTTTCTTGTTTCGTTGCATCCGCGGCGATGCCTTTGTCTTTATTTGCTATTTTTATGGCAACTATATGCTAAATGTCTGACTGGCTGGTTGCCTGTGTGCCTGTCTCACAGTCTTACATTATGTGTGCTTCTTCTTTGCTTGCAATTGGCATTGACTTTGCAGTGGCTGCTGCTGCTTTGCGCTCGTCATCGACCCAGCTGTAGGCACAATTTCGATAACGATAATGTATTTTCTTTACCAGTTGCTCTTTTCTCGTTGCTTTCTTCTTTACATGCAAATGTGCGTGCGTGTGTGTACGCGTGTTAGTGCTGGCAGTTAAAGAGCAGGCAAAAATCGCTTTTTAAGCTCCGCAATAAAGATAAAATTAGAGCTAACAGTTTTGTGAGGTATGCACTTAAAGTTGAAAAGTTCCATAACATTGTTAAAATTAAGCTTATTTTCGTAATATATATATAATTGGTTTCAAGCCATATTCGCTGAAAAACTATTGAAATAGTTATTTTTTCATAATATAAATATCATATATAAAATGATAACAAAAATATTAATATGTATTTTGATATTGATATTTCGTGATATGTATATATATAAAAGAAAACAATTTCGTATACAGTTTCTATAGACATAAAAATGCCAAACTTAGCTTTAAAAAAAGTGCTATTCGCAACACTGCTTGCGGCTCGGATCCCTTGCATTGGCTTTGCCTCTCACTCACTCTTCTCAATGTTCACTCTTCGCTTTCCACGCATATTCGAGTCTTGGCACATGGGCTAAGCCCGCACTTATCAGCGCCTCTGCTTTACACTTATCGCCTGCTTTATAACTGTAGTTTGGCTTGCCGGCATTGCTGTCATGCCGCAATCGAAAGGCAATTAAAGGTTCTTATAAATAGACTTAATATCGTCGTACATAAATGCCTATGTACTTAGCATGTTATTTAAGATTGTGTTTAAGATAAAAGAAAATTATTTAAATAGAGTGTAACGAAATTTGTGAAAGCTCCAGAAGAAGCGAGAAACGCTGTAAACGCTGCAAACAAAGTGTGAATAATTTCAGTGTTTTTTTTTTCTACAGTGTTGCAATTGCAATTCATATTCTGATTGGATTCTTAACTGTATAGGAAAGTGAGCCGTGGGCCAAATAAGGCCAATGAGAATTTCTTATAAAGAATCAGTCTAAAAGAAAAAATGACTTGAACGAAACTCTGAAACTTTTTTCATATAAATAGCTCACAATTCTTTTTTTGTTTACTTTAAATGTAAAATGGAAGCGTTTATTGTGTTAATGTTTGCTTAACAGCTCACAATGTGTGTTGTATCATTATATGTATATATTTAATTTCTTTGACATAAATAGATCGAATAGTGTGGATAATGATGTTTTATATAAAGTTATATTTATTGGGATTGTAAAAGTTACACTTCTTAAGAACATTCGAAGACCTTATTATTATGATTGAAAAGAATGATCACATTATCGCCAATATTTTCAAAATCAAGCTTTTGCTAAATTATTACTATATAAACTTTAGAGCAGTGCGTCGAACTGGAAGGTTTTCTGCTAACTTACAAGAAATAGTTATTTTAAGAAAACTTTTTTTACTCATCTCTAAGATTTTGTTAAACATATGTTGCCTGTTAATGGGATCCGACCTTTGCGCTACATCTAAATGTGTCGATAGGGTTATAAAAAACTCTAATGACTGTTCAAACAACTGTTTTGCATAGAGGGAAACGAATTGAGATATGTAAGAGAGAGAGCGAAAGAAAGAATATGACTTATAAAACATTTCTAGGTTAATTTCACTTTGATAAAAATAGCATTTAAGTACAGTTCAAATTGCACAACCAACTGATGTCATCTTCCATCTCTGTTCCTCAGATGCTTGCCAATTCGGTTGCTCTTGGCAAGCGTCTAAGATGTCACATAACTGTTTATGCAGCATATAAAAAAAATATATAAGATAAATTGTGAAGCATTGCAGCTAAAAAGCTAAAAACAATAACAAAAAGAGCTAGACCCAGATGCTTGACGCCGCCCTCCATGCATGCTCATTGATTTCATATCTAAATTTCACACCGAGCCAAAGGCCCAACCCCTGCAGCACAGCTGCAAGCAGTGCAAGTCCGCGCCCAACGAAAAAAAAAACGGGAAAAAACAAGTCATTGGTAGCCGCCGTCTGTTAATTTCCGTCTAACCCTTAAGCCCAACGCCTACTCAAAGTCTACAAAGACAGCGCATGCGCTGCTACGGTGTGCCGACTCTACACTCTCTGCTGTCAGCTGCAATTGTTAATCGATACATTTGGCAGCTCTAGCATGAGCTTTTTTTGTTATTGTAATGCGAGTTCAGGGCTAAGCGCGGTTGCTCAACCTAGCGCACAGGTCGCTTATCGATTTTGCATTCGCTTCCACTCAAGTGCTCTCTCTAAGCGTACTGTCGCTCTCTGCGCCGTCGTTGCTTTTGCTTTGGAACTAGTCCTTTTGAAGCTTTTTTTCAGCCTACGCTCAGTCTCTATACGCGTCGTGTGCCTAACGGATGGCAGTGAATTCTTTTACGCAATTGCTCAACGTTTAACGTAACGTCGTAGTTCGCTAGCTTGCCCTCTCGCTCTCTCTCGTTGTGCTTTGTTTGTTGCCTGAGTAAACGCAAGAAATATACAGAAATTTATAAATACGCAGATCGAAAATAACGTTGTAATTATATTTGCGACGGCTTTAGCAACTGCTTGGTGAAAAGTTTATTCTAATAATAAAGAGTATTAACGAAAAATGTGTACAATTGGCGAGGCCGGACAAAATGGCGTCTGCAAGCAGCGGCCATTGATTTGCTCCATTTTGGATCCCAGTAAGTTTTGCACACACACACACACGCATACATATAACCAATCAGAAACATAACTAACTGTGAATGGGTGACTGGAAATGCATTTTGTTGTATAACCAACTACTACGTGGGCCTGGCTAGCTCTTATACTAACTGTTCTACCTACATCTACTACTTTGCTTTGCATGCTTTAATTGTATTTCTTTTTTTGCGCCTTTAACTTAAAACACCGCTCAATGCACGCTCACGTTCCTTCTCTCTTTTTCTCTACTATGTCTCTTCTCACTCTGATTGCCTTGCACAACAACACACAAAATCCCAAAACGCTAAACTAACGAAAATCAATATTATCCATCGCCTATTTGCAGATGCCTGGTTCAAGCCCGAACGTTTGCACCCGCTAGGTAAGTGTATTGAGCGGCCCAGTGGTTGTCAAACTGCGCAAATAACTGTCAATTGCAAAACACTGTACAAAACGCAGCAAAAGAAAATGAACTCTCGTTCATTATATCGGCGTTATATATAGCTATAGATGTGTATAATGATGTCATTGTCGCGCCCGCACAAAATGTAGCTATGCCACGCCTCCGCGTATCTGTACCTCTCCTGTCCTCAAGCAGTCTCCATCAAGCCTTAAAGTATGCCTCGCTTTTTGTTATACTTTTATTGTTGTGCACTTGTCTCTGTGTGTCGCTTTGTCTCTGTACATTGTAATTGCTATGAACAACCCTGACTATACGCTTCATTATATTTGTATAGTTGGTGAAAACACTCGCTCTATATAGCCTCGAGTAACAGGGAATAAGGCACATTTATTTTTCTTAAAGCTAAACAATTCTGATTTGTGGAACTTAAATTGCTCGAATTCTTATGAAGTGTTCTGGACTTGAAACAGAAACTAGTTAAAAATAAGCATGTGCATCTTTTCTATCTTCTCTTCTCAGCAAAAGATATCCTAGAGATACTTTAGAGATCCAATCCAGACTTGTCTTAATGCTCTTTGTTCCTCTTTGCTTTGAGTCACAATTCACTTTAACTAAGTTGGTCAAAAGGGTCCACTTTTTGTCATATTATTGAAGGTGTGTCACGAACTACATTTAAATTCAATAAGACTAATATGTCGTATGTTATTTACCTAAAAATTCAGCTCAATTTTGGTTAATATAAATATATTTGAAGAATTTGAAAGTACGAAATTTAAAGAAGGAAGAATTTCGCTAGATATTTCGAGCTTCTTTCACATTATTGAGTATTCCGTCATTTGAGATACAATTCTTAACAATTTGGTATATATTTCTGATGCTAGCTCTTTTGAACACACACACTATCGATAAATATCGATTTTTATTTCCAATCTATACATACGTAGCGTCTTTATAAACATCAGCGTTTTTAAATACATGTTTACATGCAGTAATTATATGTGTCATTTTTTAGCTACTCCAAGAAATCGATAAAAATCGATATTCAAATATGGTATTATAAAATATGGGTATTATAAAAGCTACTAACTGGTGTATTATAACATGACAATTGAATAGTTTCGCATCTTAGTTTTTTTGTACAACGATTTCCAAAAGCAGATTCCAGAGAATCGATAATTATCGATAAATAATATATAAGATTTAGTATCAACAGCAAACGTTTATTTTGCATGACTTTTTTGATTCATATTAAGTCTTTACTCCTTTCCGTTTACCACTTTAATTAGCCTAAAAACTCACTGCAAAAACCAACAAAATTTTGCGTCCAGCGCCCAAAAACGCGCAACACAAAATGTAAAATGCGAAAGCCAAAAACTGGCGACTGCATTAATTGTGGCCACAACAAAGTGTTGTTGTGTGTGTGTGTGTGTGCCACGCCCACATAATTAGTAGCCAGGCATAAATGCAGTTCAGTTACCTTAACGCCCTGCCCCTGCCACGCCCCGCGGCTGGCACTGAAGCGGCAACAGCAAAGCGAAAAGCGAAAAACGAGAAACGAAAAACAAAAATTGGTAATCGGATCGCATGCTAAACGCTTTCATGACTTAGCTTCATATGGCGCATACACCTCAATAGGAAAACTGAAAAATGGAAAACCTTTTCACTCGTCCACATGCTGCACTGCAAGCTGATATGCCGTGCGCCAAAGGTGAGAGCTGAAGGTGGCCGAGCAGGCGGAGGGAATAAGCCGCCTCCCCCTGGCTTGCGTTCACACGAGGCTCGCATGCAATAGACGCCAGCGAAACATGCACAACTATAATGGGCATATAAATAGGTCTATACATATGTATATAGTATATATATATATATATATATATATGTATATGTATAGTTTCATCAGCTTATGAAAGTCTCTATCGTCAGACTGACTAACAAATGCCAATTCTGACGTCGCTTGAGCTTTGCACCCAGCGACTGCACTGTCAACACATTAACTGTTTATATAGTGCTTGACTCAACATATGCATGTATATATATAGACTTAATCTCTGTGAATTCTCTGTGCATGAGCTGTAGCTCAGGCTGAGATTCTTATTCAATTTGCAATGCAATTCGTCGTTGAAAATCTTTGACACTGAAAATTTGTACAGAAAGAGCTTAACATAGCATGAACTATGTTAGCTGAGCATATTTAACATTAAGCTGTTAAGCTTAACATGTATTAGGGCCAGTTCTAGGCAGCGCTTGGGCGCAGAGTAAGAGATAAAAAATAGGGAAAAAACAAATTTAACTTCGTGAAACAGTATAAAAAAGTATTGGGAAAATATAAATATATATATTTAGCATTCATTCATTTTAGATCTTTAAGCAGCTTAAGTTCTCTGCAGCGAAAACAGAATTTTACTTAATTCAGTTGCCAGCAGAGAATACTAGAACGCTCTATAGATTGTAACTGATTTAAGTGATTCATTTGTAATTGAAAATAATTTAAAAAATCAGCTCAAATTGTATTCAGTTTCCAGTTTTACTGAATAAATTACGAAACATTTAAGCCTATGCTATGAAACGTGTTCTATGTATATGATCCAGTATATATCTGCTATGTTAAGGTTGTCATGTTAAGCCTATGTTAAGAAGCTATTAAGAGAGACAAATTAAACTGCTTGCTCAGAGACTCAGAAACTATAACTAAAAGTGCTTCAACTGAACTCATAATAAATAATAAATATTGTTCACATAAATTTAAATATAAACAAATTTAAATATTAATTTTAATATTAAATATGAAATGGTAAAGCTGCGCTGTTAGGAGCATGTTAAAGCTATGTTTAACAGCTGCTAGAGCCTAAAAAGTATTTACAAATATAAAATATAAAAAAAAGTTAGGCAAATCTATTCCAATTAACGCGGCTAAGTTAATTGCAGCTGCAGCCTATGTCAAGCAGCTGTTAAGTGACTCACAGCTAACAGTTGACTATAAAGACTCCCCTTTTGTCTCAGCTCAATTAAGCTGTCTATAAGCAAACAAAGTAGCTCATAAAAGTGTACTAATAATTATCCAAGTTTGCTAGTTAATTGATAAAAATCTTTCTTTCTCTATGCGCCCAACCATATATTCGCCTTCAATCTATGTCGCCCTCCCCTTTGAGTCCAAGCCATAAAAGTTGCGGCTGCTTTTGATGCGCCACCCGCTTGGCACGTAAAAGCAATTGCTCGACTCGAGTTATGCCTAAATTTGGTGCAAACTCGAGAGATACTCTATGCCCGTGGAGTATGCCCATTTACCCACTCGAATCCAATCCGGACTGCCCACTGGGAATTCTCGTAACGCTCTGTGTGCCTTGGCAGGCAGTCGCTGAGTCACAATTCGCTGACTTCAACTTGTCTTGGCCATAAAGAGAGCCAAACGAGGCGTTCATAATGGAAAGCTAGTCATAAGAAGTACAAATTGGAATAGCAAATACGCTTGCTTTGATTCAGCTGCTAGTATTTGGAAATAAATATATAAATATATATTTGGAAATAATTGGGATCTGGTTGGACTCCGATTGGAGCACAGCAAAATTTCAATTTCGAGTTTGAAGTTCATTTTAGACATAAAATTCGAACTTAGAAAATATTTTTATTTACTGATTTGTAAATATAATATAATAAAATAAATATAAGCTAAAATTTAATGAAATTGAATGAATTTATAAATTTGTATAGATTCAGTTTTACTCTTCAGATATGAGAAATGAACTCAAAATTAGTCTTTACTAGTAAATGTTTGAATATATTTATATGCATATATGAAACATTATATATAATATGATCTACTCTTTATGGATATACATCTATATAGTATAAACTACCTATCACTCTCTGCTATCCTTATATAAAAAGTTATTATCAAATAGTTTTCCTACTCTTGAGCATGCTTAAGAAGTCTTGGGTACGGGCCAAAACTTTATTAATTAATGAAATTATTTTGGCAAGCGTTTGCGCTTCAATATCTAAATTATATTAGGGGTAGCAATATAAGAAGTACTTTAAGTTAAGATTACTGCGAATACTTGAGCTACTCTACGCTAAACCTGTTTTATCTGAAGTCGATTCATAAATGTGGAAATAGTTTCAGCGCACAATGTAGCGGGTCAAAGCGCTTCAGACATGATTCATAATTAGAAATTGGTTAGTCCAAATATGGATATGACTTCATATATAAAGATATATGTATATATATATCTATGTCTATATATATATATATATATGTATATATACGCCTCAAGCTGAAGTTTATAGTCTGCCTTTCACCTGCGATTTTAGCCGGCCGGCTTTTGTGCTTTCCGATAGTTATTTTGGTTACGTGCCGGCGGGTGCATGTTCACATACACGTATCTGTATATAATATATATATATTTATTTATCTATTAGAAATGCTGCTTGATTCCAGGCCAAGCGATTGGCGCATTAGATCATCGCAAATTTCGCAATATAAAAATGTAGAATGAATTTTGCATTTATGTGCGAACTGAAATTTGTTGCAAATTGATAATTTAAACAAATATTGAGCAAATAAGATTGCCGGAAGCACGACTCTGAGTTACCCTAGACTAAAATTTTAAGATCAATGAAAGAAAACAATTAAAAATCTTTCAGTTGGGCGCGATCGCCCAACGATATCGATCTATATATATTTATAGTTTGAAAACTGTGGAAGGTGCAGCTAAACCAATTTTTAGATGGAACTACTATATATGTGAAGTCTCAGGGAAAAGTTGTCTACACGAATATATTTTCTTAATTTCAACTGTGTAGCGTCAATAACGGTATATATAAAAAAATTCGTATAAACTCATTTCCAATATATATTTTGATTCCTGAACTTCTTAATTTAAAACGTTTACAGATTCTCCTCATCCAAACATCATCCCTCAAATTTTACAGCTATTTATACAAAACATTAAAGAAAGTGAATCCAGCTAAGATAAGCAAAA